TTTCAGTGACATGGGGAAATACGACTGTATTATGTTGTGGCTTCTGAATACTGTTCTGACTTTATATTGTTTAGTTATCCTCTCTGTTTTCAGTGACATGGGGAAATACGACTGTATTATGTTGTGGCTTCTGAATACTGTTCTGACTTTATATTGTTTAGTTATCCTCTGTTTTCAGTGACATGGGGAAATACGACTGTATTATGTTGTGGCTTCTGAATACTGTTCTGACTTTATATTGTTTAGTTATCCTCTGTTTTCAGTGACATGGGGAAATACGACTGTATTATGTTGTGGCTTCTGAATTCTGTTCTTCACTTTGTATAGTTTAGGTATCCTCTGTTTTCAATGACACCGGGAACAGGTAATTATTGGGGGGGGTTAGCCTTGATTGTAAATTTTAGGTAACTAGATATGTGGGGTGGTTTTATTGTTTACTGTTAGTTGTTTGTTTTTGTTCCAGGTCCTTTCTGCTATAAATAAAAATTAGTTAATAATTAGTCATCAGATTTGGATGATAATACAGGCTATTGTCAATGATAGCAATTAATATTTGATCACCATAACTTTACTGTACGTACTTAATTCTGAATATTGTTTTATTAGGGTAGATATGCACTAGAAGCTACATCTTTTGATGCTAGAAATATTGTTATTATTATTTATGTGATAACGTATTGGTTTGATTGTTTGTTTAGCTTCTGTTCCAAATTAGCTAGATAGTTATGAAACTTACTTTCTACAGTCAGTATCGGGACGTTTGCCATCACATCAATCTCCACTACCTACAAGTAATCTCACACCAAATCCTAATTGTCGTCTGTCTCAGCCATCTCCATGCCAGCCCAGAAATTACAATGGAACAACAATTAATGGGGTTGCCTCACCCCATTCCCCAACCCCTTCCCCAGCTGGAAGTGTGGCATCCGTGGGATCTCAGAGCAGTGGCTATATTAGCTGCGAATTGAATGGAGCAGCAGTTCTTGGATCGCAGAATCGGTCAGGAAACGGAACTTGTAATACTACTACCCCTCAAACAGCATCAAGCTCAAGTCATTCTGGTTCTTTACGACCATCTGGTGGTTCTGGACCTTCTAGTAGTCAACAGTCATCCACTGCAATCCCTCAGCATGTGTGTAGTTTACTCCAAAAACAGAACACACATCTAACTAACCTCCACATGTGTCATGAACTGTGGGATCAAGCACAGTATCTTATAGTCCATAGTAATTCAAAAGGTAAGAAGTTTAGGTGTAAAAAGAAAGTTGAAACTTGAGTTTTTGTTAATTTCCATATAATACAGTTAACTGCTTGGCTACAGTACTCTGACTGACACTCCGAAAATATTTCAGGGAGTTTGCTGTAGCTGTATTGTAAGCATACTTCAGAATTTGTATTTTGAAATTTTACAGTGATGAGTGCTACTAGGATAACCAGAACAATAACGGTAAACATATATTACTACTGTACTTCATCAAGTTTTACGACAGATTTACACGAATTTTTAATGGAAAGATCAGTTACGTTTTACTTACTCAAAATGAAGTGTCAATACTTAAGTTTCATATGAAACTAAATATAACCCAAGTTCTGGATATTCAACTAATTCATAAATAATCTTTCTTAAAGTGTGATTAACCCTCAGTACTATCTTTGTTAATCTTATTACAAAGGCCCAGATGACTCAGTGTTTCCAGAGATATTACACTGAAATATGTAATGGTAGATATTCTTGATAAGCCAAGATGGTTGATGTTTGCAATAATGGCCAGAATAGAAAAGGGTAACATAAAATAACTCCACCGATTAATACTGACAGTAGAGACTAGTTAGAGGTATAATCCAATCACAGCTCTCTTTTAGTTGGTTTTTGCAAAATATTATTAACATAATAATAATTCGTCGGTTTGGGAAAAAGAAAATTAGACATATCAAAATTTAATCATTAATCTCCTGGTCCAATTCTGATGGCCATTATTATGCATTGTTGCTTGACTCTGCAATTTGCATTACAGCACTATTGTCTGACATTGTAAATTTCATTGTAACGAGTTTCTGCATATGACTGAGAGTTCTGTTTATGTGGGTTATCTATTCAGGTACACTGATGCGGGAGAGAAAAATTAAAAGTTCCCTTAAAAAGATGCATATTCGGGATAGTTAAGCAAATAATAAACTAAACCCAGACAGTGAAAGAAAAACACAAAACTCTATTCATAACACAGTTTTTATGTTACCAAATTGGCCTGCTTCTAGTGTTTATGATTATTGTTTGGTTGCTGGATTTGAAGACAAGCAAGAGAAAAAAAAAGATAGCTGAAATGGGGAGAGAACTATGAAAATACCCCACTTTTTTTACTGTGGATAAAGACTTAGTAAGGTATAAAACGGGTTGCGTACTTTAACCGGTGGTTTAAAAACAATTCTAAGCCAGTTGTATATGTGTCTATTATCTATTTGATTATTCTATCAAGTCTGAACAGAGGTTTTATTTATGTAAAAGGATAAGCACGTTTATGATCTTGAGACATCCAGTCAACACAGATTGGATTAACTATAGGGCCTTGCGAATCATGAAATTTTTTTGGAATTGAATCTCAAATCAAATCATCTCAAAATATTCTAATTAAATCTCGAATTGAATTGACTGTGCATATGTATAGATTATAGGGTATTAACAACCTGATTGTAAGATGGAAAAGTATCATCGATAAAAATGGAGACTATTTCATTTAATAAATGTTTTGTTTTGATATATAAGTTGTTCGAGTTTTTTCATCCAAAAAAGCGACATTCATTTCTTGAGGACCTAATACTTCAGCCAAAAGTCTGTCTTGCACTGTTTAATGATTAAGAATTATTTTTGAACCCAATGTGTAACTGTTAAACAAATTGCCCTTGGTGTCATGGCTCATATCTGTACATCACTCCTCTGTATTAGCTTATGAAAAGCATTCTTATAAAGTGTAATTAACTCTCCATAATGTGTCCATGGGTGTTTTAATAATATATTGTGATGTAATGTTAATGTTTTATAGAACCAAATGGATTAATTTTACTTTTTTGGTAAACCTTCAGTCTGATAGTGTAGTATGTCCTCGTATTAATTTTGTTTCAACTAGTTTATCATTTTTAACTTGTTACTTGTATTTGGTATTATCTGGTGTATATTAATCCACTTCAATGATTTTTGAAGTTTTAATATTCAACTGTGGTCACTTAACCAAGCTATTCAAGTGCTGTTTGATAAAAACATCTTTGTTTAGTTGCTAAAGTATGATTAGGATTGCTTGGAAAGTTGACTTTACTGATATATAAATATATTTTTGATACATGTATGAAGTATAAATAAAGGTTTAATAATTATTTAATTCATTTAGAATGGACTAAACATTTTTCTTTGTAGCTCGTACTTATGTATATTCATTTTTAATATGTTTTTGTTTATACAAGGAGTAAACAATGGAATCACTCTGAAATTGTTCGTTTTATGATACTGCACAAAACTCGCAAGCCATAGATATGTTTATCATTACTGCTTTTAAAAGTGAACATGTATATTTATAAATTTGGGTAATACAAGTACATTTTTTTCCTTATTGCATTTCTCTCTTCTGTTCCTAAATTATTTTTCTTCTTTACATGTAACATACAACATGTTATTGTAAATTTTAAGTATTTAGAAACAATGTACATATGTTTTTCATACAGATAACCTTAACTTGAATGAACTGTATTAAAGTTTTTCCTTTATGTTTTATATATATATTTACAGACTTCTTCTCTGAGCTGGATGCAAGTTGTGGCCGATTAACGCTGGACAGCTCTTTTATGGAGTTAGTCCAGTATGTTCGAGCTGGACTGTCCAAACTTAAGGAAACATCTTGACTGAAGTTCTCAGCCTAGCTTTTCTAATGAATCATGTCAAATGTGAGAAGCTTGAGAAAGAGATACAAGTACGGCTATGTCAGGTCCACAAATAGTGGAATGTTTATCAGTTTTGTACATATTTTTGTATGTAATATTATCATTACGATACACATGTATCTAGGTGTTTTTCTCACTGTATTTTTTGTGATGGACCCCTGAATGTTAGCAACTCTTAAAAAAAATATTAAAATATCATCATCTAGATATAAAATGTTTGATAGCCAAGATGTTTCATTCAATCATGTAAGTATATCCACAAACTTTGTGTTATTTGTGCAAAAATATATGATATTGTTAATAGAGTGCCTATGGTTAATTATGGGACAGTTTAACACAAACCTTGTCTGTTCTTGACCTGTCTTTTTTCCAGGCCTGCTTATGTTTGTATTTGTACAATTTTGTTTTTACTCTATTCGATTCTAATTTCATTTTTGACCATTTGACAATGGGACTGAATTATATATATTTTGGGATGAGAGCAAAGTAGTTATGAGTTTGAAAGTGTAATTGAATTTTAAGAGGTTTGTTAAAGTTTTTGTTAGGATATTTGATAATATTCAAACTGTTGAAAAAATAGTGTAACTACATTGGAGCAAATAGAATGTATTGGAAATTGTAGAGTTTTGTGATAAAGTGGCACTGATCACTTTTAACAGGGTCACATGTAAGATTTCTAACTAGTTAAGATGATTACAGTTTAGAATTGGGAAGACTACGTTTCACCTTCTAGTAAACAAAATCATTGACACACACATTGAAGAATGTTTCAGGTAAACAGTTGTGTTAGTTATTAATAATTACGTAAAAATCTGATTTGTAAGTGACATAAATAAAATACATAATAATTACAATTTACTTGCTCGATCTGATTCACATCCTAACATGAAAATTGATCCCATATTTGGCACCTAGACCAACTGCTATGTCTGTTGTCTCCCAGTTTACCTGACGAGTCTTGGTATCGAGTGAAAGGCCTCACTGGCACTGGATACTTAGTGTGGTTGATATATCATAAGATATACTCTTCAACTTTCACACATTCATAAAATATGTATAACGCATATGTTATTTTAAATTAAGAATAGGAAACATGAGCTTTAAGGTTGTTAAAGTATGAAGTGAAAAAAAGTTATCCTCTTATTTTGTTCTGAATCTATATCTTGATTATTTTGAATCTTTTAACCGTGGATTGCCCGCTAAGTTTAATTCTAATGTAATCTGTAGAAGATTATACTTTAACTACAGTTTTGAAGTATCACACAGCATGAATGTAACAGAAAAACGAGGTTAATAGTTCTTGGTTAAATTGTGTTTGTGGCAAATGAGTTTACAAATATTATAACCAAATGAGATGCTACTTCATATCTTATGCCTTAAGATAAAGCCTTTGACTATTTGACTCCAAAATACTTTTTATCTTACATGTATCAAACACCTGTCAGGTGTTGCTATGTTCTCCTTAACCATTTCCATGCAGAGAAACATGGATGTGTGTATCACTTATAACCTTCCCCAGTCTCGGAATAATGGTGTAAGATTTGAAGAGCATAAAAGTTTGATCTCTGGTAGTGACAGGAGGTGGGAGATTTTAAGAACTTTGAACAAACTGTAAACTACAACAGAATAGCATTTTTTATTCATAATGCTAAGAAATCAGTTAGGATCAGAAAATAGATAAATCAGAAAATGTGAAAAAGATTTCTGGTAATTTTTTCTGAGTAATAATGTTCCTTATGATTGATAATTTTAATATAAATCATATCTGAAAACGGGTATCAACATAAAAAATTGAGACTTTTACTAGATTGTGGTAACTGTTACCAGTACAAAACAAATTACGGATGTTTTTTTTTCTCAGAACTATTATTTTCTACTTACTGACTACTTTTCATCAGTTCTTGTACTTGTGTTTTCAGACTCGGTAAAGCAAACTAACAGTTAACTGTTTTGCAACAAAAGTTTTTAATGTAACTGTCTAAAACTAATATTGAAATAATTGTGCTTAACTAGTCATGTTTTATGTTTATAAATTTAGTTTTTAAAACAAAATTTAGCAGTATTTGCTATCCATATAGGTGGTGAAAAATACCAGATTAAAAGCTTGGTAAAAAAAACAACAAATATATTTGAAGCAAGGGACAGTTGGTTTTCATACTTATGTTGAAAGTTAAAGCATTTTTAGATGTGTAAATTAAGTCAAAAATTAATTTTTTGTCGGTTATCTTGATTGCGACAACAAAAAAATCCAACGACTATTTGCTTTGCGTTATACTGTCAATAACTATATTTTAGTTGTAAGACTTTCATGTAAATAAATATAGGATATTCTAATGTAAAATCATGGTGTAGTATGGGTTGCCATGCACAATAAAACACTACATTCACATAAATTATGTATAAATGTATATTTATGTAAAATTATGAATTGTAAATATGCAGCTCTGAATGTTTTCATGCATCACAAGGTTTTTATTGTCTGTAGAAACACAATGCTATTTGAACACTTGCCATGAACGATTTTTCTGTTGAGTACAACGAAATTTAGAAGGTATAAATTGAAAGTATCTTTCAACCAATGAAGAGTATTGGCAGATTTTGATTTTTTTGGTTAGCTACATGCCTTTTTATTGTACAGAGAAGGAAACAATGAAAGTAGACAATACATGCAGACGTTACGTAATAATATTTTTTTTATTGTATAAACATTTTTCTCTCTCTCTTATGCACCATTGTAACTATTTATTTTTTTATATATTTAACAAGTTTTTGGATATAGATACTTCAAGTCATAAAATAGTAATCAGTTCAGTAAAGATACAACTTGTGGAAGCACACCTGAAGTACTTTGGATATGTAGTTAGTGATGCTAGTAAATCTATTTAATCACACCAGAGGGTTTAATCAAAAAAAAAAACTTCTGAAACCAGACTTTCAGTACTTTATTTTTTTTTATCATACTGTTTTATGGATCGTAGAAAATGTATTCTTGGTATCAAGTCCCCTTTAGCAAAATCCATGAATGGTTATTTCGTTGAATTAGGTTATCTTATTTACCAAAGGAAATAAATTAATGCATGTAAGTTTTGTGAATATATGTGTGTTTGTTCAAAGTAACTTTATGTAAGTAGCACAAGTAATGGTCTTGGAACTAGGCTTCTGGATGACTAGGATTATGGATCTGTTTTACAATTAAGCCTGTATTTGCCAACAAGTTTGTTTTAAATTATTCTATGAAACAATCTTGGAATTAGGCTTCTGGATCTATGTGTTATTGAAGCCTGTGTTTTCTAACTGGATTGTTTTCCATTCTAAGAAATAACCTTGGAAGTAAGCTTCTGAATCTATATGGTATATATATATGAATGTGTTATTTGACAAGTTGTTTCATCCATCCTAAGAAACAGATTAGGAATTAGGCTTCTGAATCTATATTGAATTTATGCATGTGTTTTCCATCTAGATTGTTTTTCACCATCCGAAAAACCTTGAGATCAGGATTCAGAATCTGTGTTATTCTTGCCTGTATTTTCCATCTAGATTGTTTTTCACCATCCAAAAAACCTTGGGATCGGGATTCAGAATCTGTGTGTTATTTATGCCTGTATTTTCCATCTAGATTGTTTTTCACCATCCAAAAAACCTTGGGATCGGGATTCAGAATCTGTGTGTTATTTATGCCTGTATCTTCCATCTAGATGATTATTCCAGAAGCATACTTTTAAAGTTGAGTTTGAAAGAATTGAATGTGTGTACACAAGTTTGTATTAAGCAGAGGCCCGAAGCTATTACACTTCTAAGCTCTTGTTATGGTATAACCACATAAGACCATAAAGAAATTTATAGCTTATGTTTTATTGATCAGTAGATTTTGTATACTGGCAAACAATACTGCACAACCCATTACATTCTTAGTAATGATTATGATTATGTGTGAAGAGATGGTTAATAGACATTAGTGGATTAAATCTGTAAGAATTAAAAACTTTCATAACACCTAGTGTGAAATTACAAAAATTTCTTGTTTGGTGAGGTTGGAACTTTAGTTTTTTCTCTTTATTGAGAATATGTGAAACTTCATAAAATGTATATTCTATAGAGTAATGGTTGATGATTTGAAAGGCAATCATGTCATTATAAAAATTTTCTCTTCTGTATTTTTTAAATGCCACATAAGGAAGTTAAAGAATATTATAGTTGAACGTATTAGAAATGACAATTTGTATGAGTGTGTAATAATTTGTAATTAACTCTTTTATTTTTTTTTCTTGTTGTTGTTGTTGTTGGTGTATAGTCTGGTTGCTGTTAAAATTCAAAATTCATAACTTAAGTTTTAATATTGGAAATCTCAGTTATTTTGTTGTTATCATCATTGCTGTTATGCAAACTAGAAAAAATGTGTCATGAAATAATTATAGGCCTATAGACACAGGTAGAAATAAATGGGAATTTTGTTATAACAATGTAATTGTTATACCCAAGGATAGTGAGTAAATTTTGTTTGATTTAATCAGACTGTGAGAAAATTTCCTCGGGGGACAGTTTAGCAAAGACTTTTAAAATGGAAGGAAAACAGATCCTAATGTAAATGAATTACTTTGGTTCATCATTCTGTAAGTAATAAGCATTAATCCCAAAATAAATATCACCCATTCACTTATTAAACATGATTTATTTGTATGTTTCAAACAAATAATATACTTATGATTGAAACAGTTAGCTCAAGTAAGTTTTCAAAGATAAGACTCTTGTTTTTATTTTTTCTCTGGTAATGAGGTATTGAAGTCTTTCAGTTGCAAGGTTTTGAAGGATACTTGTAATTTTAGTGATTCCAATTTTTCGTTGTTTCAACATCTTACCTTATGCAGTCTTCATGCAGAGTAAAGAGTATAGCATGAAAATAATACACAGATTGTTTTAAAATGTTAAAAACAGTATATATATATATACACACACACACACACACACACACACATATATGAGAAGTTGATATTGTGTCTGTGAGAAGCTACAATCCATGAAATTCATTTGAAATAGTTCCTTATTCCTTTGTTTTCAATGTATCAAATTTACTCACTGAAAAAACACAAAATTACCCTTCACCAACTACTACAGATTCTGGTAACTTATACTGCCGGTAGGATCATACTAGAGTTTCAATATAATAAAGGTGCTCAGTTAATATGAACATAACACATCCTTGCGTTTAGCATAAACTAAGGGTATTTAAATTACATAAGAAAACTAAAAAAAAAATGGTTATGCAAATAGATGCAATATCTTTAAAAAGTTTACAGGAAATTTTATAAAAGTAGGTGTGTGTGTGTGTATGTATATATATTGAATGATTTTTTTCCCATGCACAAAACATGCCTATTTTAAGTTTGGATTTATTGTTAACCGACAACTATACATTTGAATACTGTAGAATCAGCCTCACTTACTGTTTTTTCAGTTCTCTCTAATATGTACGTTTTAATTTTTGTATTCATGTGTTTCTTATTTAAAATTTTAAGTTTTGTTGTGTGGGATTGTTTTGTGTTAGTTCAAAAGTAAACTCATGATTATAAAGAACTTAATCTAGCACTGGTGTCTTATTTGTCTTTATATTTTTTAAATCCAACTGGAATACCAGGGTCATGCCAATTATACCACCTTGATTTAAAGATATTTTTAAAAAGTTATAATCTGCCAAAAAAACAACAACGTTACCATTACAGACTTAATGGATAAAATGAATTTTACCCGTGTTAGTATGTTGAAAGGTGTTTGAAGAGAAGTGAGTAATTCACACCTAATTAGCTCATTAACTGTCGAGCAAATATTCATACCCAACTAGACCATTAACGAGCCAGTAAATATTCACACCTAATTAGTTCATTAACTATCGAGCAAATATTCATACACAACTAGACCATTAACGAGCCAGTAAATATTCACACCTAATTAGTTCATTAACTGTCGAGCAAATATTCATACCCAACTAGACCATTAACGAGCCAGTAAATATTCACACCTAATTAGTTCATTAACTATCGAGCAAATATTCATACACAACTAGACCATTAACGAGCCAGTAAATATTCACACCTAATTAGTTCATTAACTATCGAGCAAATATTCATACACAACTAGACCATTAACGAGCCAGTAAATATTCACACCTAATTAGTTCATTAACTATCGAGCAAATATTCATACACAACTAGACCATTAACGAGCCAGTAAATATTCACACCTAATTAGCTCATTAACCGGTGGGACAGCGGTAAGTCTATGGACTTACAACGCCAAAATCCGCGATTTGATTCCCTGCGGTAGAACAGCAGATAGCTCAATTTGGCTTTGCTCTAAAACAAACAAACTAGCGAGTAAATATCCGCACCCAACTTATTGATTAACTAGTGACTAAAGATTCACACCTAACTAGTTGATTAACCAGTGAATAAATATTAACACCCAACTAGTTGATTAGTTAGCTAGAAAGTAAATATTCACACTCGACTAGTTGATTAGTTACTAAATATTAACATCCGGTTAGTTGATCAGCTAGCAAGTATTCACATCCAACTAGTTGATAAGCTAACATGAAAATATTCACACCCAAATAGTTCATCAATGATCAAGTTAATTCACACCCAACTAGTCCATTAACAAGGAACTAAATACTTGCACCCAACTAGTTGATTAGCTGGGAAGTAATATTCACACCTATTTGATTAACTAGCGAGAAATATTTACACCCAACTAGTTCATTAACTAGCAAATATGATTTGTGAATTGTTCAGACTAAATGAGAGGTGTATATAACCAAATTTCTCTGTTGTAAACTTTGTTTTAGCAATCAAGTACAGATACACGTATATGTAATAAAATTAAATAACCCAACAAAATTCATGACATCAAACGGGGTGATTGATGTTGGAAGTGAGACGGGAAGCTCAAATATTCATACTTTGTTTATGGGAGAAATTATAGCTATCTGACTGGTAAGGAGCGGGCCAAAAGAATAGTATCAAAACCGCTGATTTTTGTTGAGTGTTTTAGAAAGAATTAACTACTGATCAAAATTCAAAGTAAAACACGAAGTAGGATTGGACAGAACGATGGTTACACCCCTTTGAGGTTGTACCGTGTCAAAAACCACCAAATGTGGTAATGTTATCTTGCCCATTCCTACCTTGTTTCCTCACCTTTTGGTTCTCCCATTCCTACTTCCTAATTTTTTTAAATTGTTTACACTTTTCTCATAGCCTTTTTTTTTTTTTTT